GTTGTGACATGATGTTCATACATAACTCAACAGATGCAATACTGTAATTCATAAAACAGACAATAACTAATTAAACTTGTGTAGCACCTTTTCAAACACTGAGGCTTTTCAAATGACTTCTTGTAAGGTAAAGAAATACTGGAGATTAACCTTTAAAAACAGGGGAATATAAAATTTCAAATACATAAAACTTTTTTGGAGACATTTGAGTGGTTTTGGAAAAAGCACATAGGTGTATTTGACAAATAGTACGCCTCATGTGAACAGTATCTGTTGTTTAAATTAAAGTGGCTTAATGTATTACATGTATATATTTACTGAAATATGATTTATGTTGGTGTTACAGTTACAAGCAACCATCCCAAAGTCACATAAGATATTTTTCTGTCAGCTATTGTTTTAAATCAAGAAGTCAACATTCAAATCAGCATCTGACAATCAAAAGACAAGACGCATCTAATTGTATCTATTTCTCCACAGTCTTACCCCTTTCTTAGCAGCAAATAATGATGACACTCGATCAAACAAGTGAAGTAAAAAAAAGTCAGTGGAGTGAGCAGAAAAGAACAAAATTCAACTACATATAATGTACTTGAATTTTGTTCAACACTAAATGCTTTTGCACCCATGGTTGTGAGACAATGGGCCTTTGGGCACAGATATGTACAGTATAAGGCCAGCCTTTTCTACACTGGAGCCAGACCCACAGACTGAAAGTGGCATCAAACCACTACAAACAATGGGTTTCTTTTTGAGATAAATTTTGAGGTCTTTGGGATCAATTTCGCATCTTTTTGCAAGTCATTTTGTGTCCTTTGTAAGGTGTTGTCTCTTTAAAAATGTTTTGCATGTTTTTGTAGTTGTTTTGCAATGTGATTGTAGTTGTTTTGTCCTCTTGTATAATGTTTTTGCAATGTCTTGTGTAGTGTGTGTTAAGTGAATAAATTATCATTTCAAACAGACGCCTCTTGAGCCCCTGGGCCTGTGACAGCTAGACCCCTTCAGTAATTGACCTATGTTTGCACCTGATGCACTCTGCTTGTTTGTTCCATCTATAAGCCAATAAAGCTGTCACTGTGGCTTCCACAGTCTTTTATTATTTGACTTTACAGACTTATTTGGAAGCTCCTCCTGCTGTTTGTGAGTGAATTCTCCTATAAAAGCAGTAGTCCAAAAACATTGCAATCACCCTTTACCACTGCTATTTTACACAAGAGGGTTGACACAAGATAAGAAGCCCTGCAGCAAAACACTAATTCATGCTGGGCACCTGCCAAGTTCAAGTGTGTTAATCTTTTCCTCATAAAAGAGCATACTTGCTCACTTAGTCTTCCCACAGAAATGGACGTTGGCCTTTAAGTTTAATTCATTGTATAGAAATTCTTCAAGATCACATAGACAAGCGTCTGGCATCCATCCAAGCCCTAATCAGGTTTTAGCTTGAGACAACACGTTCAGAGAGCAAGGTGAGTAGTTCAGGCTGTCTTGGAAAGTGGAATGTGAATGTGAATGTGAAGGTTTTTCAGGGGCTATGGGAGAGTAATAGTAAAAAGTATTGCCAGACAGTACACACAGCCACTGTGTTCAAGGTTAGAAAATGTAGTATAGGAGAAGGGAGAATTGGTAGATCCTAGCAAACAGTCAGCAGTTACTTCAGGCATCAGGGACAGTTTGGAATGATTAAACACAGTAAACATTCCCTGCAAGTGGATAGTTCAGGGGATTGGTAGTGGGGGGGGGAGTTATCAACAAATACACAGAGCCATTAGGTATTTTAAGACATTTGGGAGTGTAGCTTTTAGAGCGAATTCAAAAAGTTCATGAAGCCTAGTAGTGTAGCGTATTCCCAGCAAATACACAATGCCAATGGGTAGTTTAGGTTGTTTATGAGTGTGGAACCTTGCCAGCAAATACACAGGACAAGCACATAGTTCAGGAGTTGGTCTGACAGAGTGAGAGGAGGCAATGCTAGAAAATAAACCTGATTGCTGATTGTTGATTGTTTATTTTATGTCTTGTTGATTGTTTATTTTATGTCTTGTTTAAATTGTAGATTGTTTATTTTATATCTTTTCTATTTTTCTTCTTCTATTTTTTTTATTGCATGTTTGCACCGTGGGTCCGAGAGGACTGAAATTTCATTTGTGCTGTATGTCGTGCATGTAAGCAGCATCTGACCAATAGAAAGCTGACTTTGACTTGGACTTGACTTGACTAAACCACTCCCATTTGATGTGGTGTTTTCCCCAGCAAAATACACAGAGCCAAAATGTACATTAGGTGGCTTGGAGTGTCAATCTTTCTCAGAGAATGCACACAACCAGTGAGTATTCAGGGACCTGGTAGGTGGCGGTTTTCAGAAAATACACAGAGCCAGCAGGCAGATCAGGGGGAGCATTCAGAGCCATTTGTGATTTGATAAATCCATTAATTATAACTATTGCCTTGCAGGAAGAAACACTGAGAAGACTCAGTGTTTCCTCCTGCCCCAGGGTTGGATTTGCTCCAGTGATTCTTTGTTTGGCTGTCAAAGATACCTGTCACCTCAGCGTTACACTTCCTCCTCCACCACATTTCACATGTTTTTTAAGCACAACTTTTATTGAACAGCTGTCAATGCACTGTTTAAGTAAAGGTAAAGTTAAAGATAAAGGTGCCATATAAATAAAAACTTAATTTGACAACATTTTGAGCATCAAGCGACAATTTTGTGACTTTCAGTCGATAGACATAGCTCAATTGTTAATACATTCAATTCAATTCAATTTTGTTTTTGTAGCGTTAGGCACCAATTCATAACAGAAATTATCTCAGGACACTTTTCAAAATAGAGCAGGTCTAGACCGAACTCCAAGACAGACATTATTTAGCAATATGTTGAGTACTGCAATTATTCAAAATGATAAAGTTGTATGCAGATGACACATATATATATATATATATATACATATAAAGCTGTGTCCGAATGAATAGTTCATTATTAGATTTTTCTGATTCCAGAATGTTGGCACCCAACAACGGCGAAAGTCCAGCACATCCATGTGTCGGTGTTTAGGTTTGTCCTTCTGGCTA